GCTAGGCCCTTGTTCTTGCAATTTTGCACACGCTAGGCCCTTGCTCTTGCTATTTTGCACTCGCTAGGCCCTGTTCTTGCAATTTTGCACACGCTAGGCCCTTGTTTTTTCAATTTTGCACACGCTAGGCCCTTGTTCTTGCTATTTTGCACACGCTATGCCCTTGTTCTTTTTATGTTTTGCACAAGCTAGGCCCTTGTTCTTGCTATTTTGCACACGCCTAGGCCCTTGTTCTTTTTATTTTGCACACGCTAGGCCCTGTTCTTGCAATTTTGCACATGCTAGACCCTTGTCTTTTTATTTGCACACGCTAGGCCCTTGCTCTTGCTATTTCGCGAACGCTAGGCCCTTGTTCTTGATTTTTTGCACACGCTAGGCCTTGCTCTTGCTATTTGCACTCGCTAGGCCCTTGTTCTTGCAATTTTGCACACGCTAGGCCCTTGTTCTTGCAATTTGCACACGCTAGGCCCTTGTTCTTGCTATTTTGCACACGCTAGGCCTTGTTCTTTTTATTTTGCACACGCTAGGCCCTTGTTCTTGCTATTTTGCACACGCTATGCCCTTGTTCTTTTATTTTGCACACGCTAGGCCCTTGTTCTTGCTATTTTGCGAACACAATGCCCTTGTTCTTGTTTTTTTTTGCACACGCTAGGACCTTGCTCTTGCTATTTTGCACACGCTAGGCCCTTGTTCTGCAATTTTTGCACTACGCTAGGCCCTTGTTCTTGCAATTTTGCACACGCTAGCCCTTGTTCTTATTATTTTGCACACGCTAGGCCCTTGTTCTTATATTTTGCACAGCTAGGCCCTTGTTCTTGCTATTTTGCACACGCTATGCCCTTGTTCTTTTTATTTTGCACACGCTAGGCCCTTGTTCTTGCAATTTTGCACATGCTAACCCCTTGTTCTTTCTATTTTGCACACGCTAGGCCCTTGTTCTTGCTATTTCGCGAACGCTAGGCCCTTTTCTTGATTTCTTGCACATGCTAGGCCCTTGCTCTTGCTATTTTGCACTCGTTAGCCCCTTGTTCTTGCAATTTTGCACATGGTTAGGCCCTTGTTCTTGCAATTTTGCACATTGCTAGGCCCTTCTTCTTTTTCTTTTGCACTACAGCGAGGCCCTTGTTCTTTTTATTTTGCACAAGCTAGGCCCTTGTTCTCGCTATCTTGCACACGCTATGCCCTTGTTCTTTTTATTTTGCTCACGCTAGGCCCTTGTTCTTGCAATTTTGCACATGCTAGACCCTTGTTCTTTTTATTTTGCACACGCTAGGCCCTTGCTCTTGCTATTTCGTGAACGCTATGTCAGATTTATATGACATAGTTTCTGTAGGCTATAGTGGGGTAGCACATATGGGGTACAGGGTCTCTAGGGTTGTATTTGTACCCAATCTTCCATAGTCATTTCATTCCTGTTTTCCTTGTTTCACATGGTATAGAGCGGGTCCTACCTTAGGACCGTTTTTTTAGGGCCCACCGAAGCGCGCCCCGAGGCGCGCCCTTTTTTTTTTTTAGCGACCCCTCGGGTCGCCTTTTCCCTCGCGGCCCCGCTGTCCCTCAGACGCGGCCCCGCCACCTCTCCTGATCGCGGCCCCGCCGCCTGTTTGACGCGGCCCCGCCGCCTCCCCTGACGCGGCCCCGCCGCCTCCCCTGACGCGGCTCCGCCGCCTCCCCTGACGCGGCCCCGCCGCCTGTTTGACGCGGCCCCGCCGCCTTCCCTGACGCGGCCCCGCCGCCTCCCCTGACGTGGCTCCGCCGCCTCCCCTGACGCTGGCACCGCCGCCTCCCCTGACGCGGCTCCGCCGCCTCCCCTGACGCGGCCCTGCCGCCTCCCCTGACTCGGCTCCGCCGCCTCCCCTGCCGGCCCGCCGCTGCTCCTGCCGGCCCGCCACTGCACCTGCCGGCCCGCCGCTGCACCCAGCGGCCCACCGCCTCTGACGGCCTCGCCGCCTGCACCTGCCGGCCCGCCGCCTCCTGACGGCCTCGCCGCTGCACCTGCCGGCCCGCCACTGCACCCTACGGCCCGCCGCCTGCACCTGCCGGCCCGCCACTGCACCTGCCGGCCCGCCGCTGCACCTTCCGGCCCGCCGCTGCACCTGCCGGCCCGCCACTGCACCGGTCAACCCGCTGCTGCACCTGACGGCCCCGCCCCTGGATCTCCCAGCCGAACCGCCCGTGAGCCGAGCCGCCCGACGCCGAGCCGCCCGGGCCCCGAGCCGCCCTGCCGCCGAGCCGCCCGGGAGCCGAGCCGCCCTGCACCCGAGCCGCCCAGCCGCCGAGCCGCCCGGGAGCCGAGCCGCCCGGGAGCCGAGCCGCCTGGGAGCCGAGCCGCCCTGCGCCCGAGCCGCCCAGCACCTGAGCCGCCAGGTCGCTGAGCCGCCTTTCTGCATACCTACTCGACCTGCCCTGCCTGGTGAGCACAGTCCCACTGCCACTGCGAGCTCTTTCCCTGCTGCTTGCACTGCGTCGCTGTCGTCGCCATGGCTACCCCTAGTGTCCTAGCTTTTGATGCTGAGGGTCGCGCCATTGATTTTGAGGTCTGGTTAGACGACCTGCAGCTGTTCTTACAGTGCGACAGGGCTGACGACCTTTCTCTCTTTGATCTCACCTCTGGCGCCTCTCCTGCTCCTGCTGCTGATGCTGATCCCGCTGTCCGCTCTAAGTGGGCCACCCGCGATGCTGCTGCACGTCTTGCTGTGCGTCGCCACCTCCCTACCTCTGAGCGTGCGCACTTTAGTCAGTACAAGAGTGCTCAGACCTTGTACGACGCTTGTAGTTGCGCGCTACTCCTCCCCTGCCACTGCTGCACTGAGCCGTCTCATGCTTCCCTACCTCTTTCCTGACCTCTCTGCCTTTCCCACTGTCGCTGACCTCATTACGCACCTCCGCACTAGTGACCCTCGCTACCGCGCCGCCCTTCCTGCCGAGTTCTGCGCTAAGAACCCCCCCCCCATGTACATCGCTCTCTACTACGTAGTCGCGCGCCTCCCTGACTCCCTTCGCGTCGTCAGGGACCACTTTCTCGCAGTCTGTCCCACCACCCTCACCGTCGACCTCCTCGAGAAGGCCCTCCTTGCAGCGGAGAAGAGCATAGTCGCTGTAGGTGCTTCTCGTGGTGACCCTCGCACCCCCATCTTTGAGGGGTGCTCTCCTTCCCCCTTGCTGCCCTCTGTTGCCTCTGCTGCTGCTGCCGACCTGCTTGGTCTTGAGTCGGTCGGCGCGGCGTCTGCCCCTAGTGGGAGACGTCGCTCCAGCAAGGGCAAGGGGGGCAAGGGCGCGGGTGGAGCTGGAGGGGGCGGGTGGCGGTGGCGGCGGTGGCGGCGGAGGGAGTGGGGGTGGCGGCGGGACTAGTGGCGGGGGTGGTGGTGGTGGTGGTGGCAAGCAGCGGCGGAGACGGTGGTGGTGGTGCCAGCGGTGGTGGTGGAGGCAGCGGCGGAGGTGGAGGCGGCGGAGGTGGAGGCGGTGGAGGCGGCAGCGGAGGAGGCAGTGGTGGTGGAGGAGGTGGAGCTGGTCGGGGTGGTACCCAGCAGCGTAGCGGCGGTGGTGGTGGCCAGCGCTCGCACCGGCAGCAGCAGCAGCGCTCGCGGGACATCCCCTCGCCTCAGCAGCTTCGTGAGTGGTACGCTGGGCGTCAGAGGGGTGGGGGTACTGGTCCCTGCACCTACGTTCTTCGTTCCGGCGACCACGCGGCCGTGAGCAGTGTGGGGTGCCCACGCCACCCAGCGCTGCTTTGGCCGCCTGACGGACGCCTGGCGTCAGCAGTTCCCTGGGGCTAGTGAGATCCCTCGCTGGGATGAGCTTCTCAGGGCTGGTGTAGCGATCTTTGATCTTGATTTTGATGCTATCCTTACTGCTATGTATGTTGTGGATTATAGTGAGGAGAATGAGGGTTACCGTTGTTTCCAGCCCGACCCGGGCATTGGTACTGCTGCGCTAGGTGCTTGTGAGGCTACTGCTCTAGGTGCCAGTGCGTCTGCGCTCTCAGGTACTGGTGAGACTGCGCTCTCAGGTACTGCGTCGTCCTCGTCCTCCCTCACTTTCACACTTGACTCCGGAGCTTCTCACTCCTTCTTTCGAGACCGCACTACCCTTACGCCGCTCGGCCGGCCGGTTGCAGTCTCCCTTGCTGACCCCTCTGGAGGTCCTGTCCTGTCTCACTTCTCCACTATCCTCCCGTGTCCGGCTGCCCCTTCGGGCACCCTGTCGGGTCTGTACCTTCCCTCGTTCTCCACAAACTTGGTGAGTGGAGCGGACCTGCAGGATGGGGGTGTTCACCAGTTCACTCCTGCGAGTCAGCGGGTGACCCACTGCACGGAGGCACGCACAGGCCGACACCTGGCCACGTTCTCGCGTCGGCCGAGGTCGAGTCTCTACACCCTGACCGTTGAGTCTCCTCCTGTCCCTGCGTCTGGTCAGGTGGCTGCGTCGGGTCAGGTACTTGCTGCTGCGTCCCGGTCAGGTCCTGAGTCTGCCCCCTGTTCTTGTCGCCTCCTGTCTCACGAGACTCTCCTGTGGCACCACCGTCTTGGCCACCCCTCCTTGCCCCGTCTTCGGAGCATGGCTTCCCGTGTCCTTGTCTCTGGTCTTCCCCAGTCTCTCCCTCCTCTCCCCTCCGGGCCAGGACCTTCCTGTGTCCCCTGTGTCGAGGGTCGCCTCCGGGCTACTCCTCACGCCTCCCACTTCCCCCCCGACAGAGGCTCCCCTGCAGACGCTTCACATGGATGTGTGGGGCCCAGCCCCCGTCCGTGGGCAGGGTTACGAGCGCTACTTCCTGTTGGTGGTTGACGACTACTCGCGTTACACCACAGTCCTCCCCTTGCGCAGCAAGGGTGAGGTCACTGAGGTGCTGATCGACTGGATCCGCGAGGCTCGTCTCCAGCTCAGGAAGAGCTTCGGCTCGGACTTTCCTGTTCTGCGTCTGCACTCTGACAGAGGCGGAGAGTTCTCTTCTCGCCTTCTGCGAGACTACTGTCGCGCACGGGGGATCCGCCAGACCTTCACGCTTCCGGACTCACCACAGCAAAATGGGATTGCTGAGCGCCGCATTGGCATGGTCATGGATGTCGCTCGTACGTCCATGATGCATGCGGCTGCCCCCCATTTTCTGTGGCCGTTTGCGGTGAGGTACGCGGCGCATCAGCTCAACCTTCACCCCCGGGTCTCTCGGCCTGCGATGTCCCCAGCCTTGCTGTGGACGGGGAAGGTTGGCGATGCGTCTGTGTTCCGTGTCTGGGGATCTCGGGCGTTTGTCCGCGACTTGTCTGCGGACAAGCTGTCCCCTCGTGCTGCTCCCTGTGTTTTCCTTGGCTTCCCCACTGACGCCCCAGGGTGGCAGTTTTACCACCCCTCCTCTCGTCGTGTTCTGTCCTCCCAGGACGTCACGTTCGACGAGTCAGTCCCCTTCTACCGTCTCTTCCCCTACCGCACTCCTTCCCTCCCCCCTCCCCCGGACTTCCTTGTGCCGGTTCCCCCCCCGGTAGACCCCCTCTCCCCTCAGGTTCCTGCCCCCTCAGGTGTGTCCCAGGTAGACGCCGTTGACCCGGTCGAGGTTACTGGTGACTCTGGTGCTGCTGCGGGTGCTGAGCCTGGGGGTGCTGACTCTGGGGGTGCTGTGCGCGGGGGTGCTGAGCCTGGGGGTACTACTGTTGGGGGTGCTGGGCCTGAGGGTGCTACTGCGGAGGGTGCGGAGCCTGGGGGTGCTGAGCCTGGGGGTGCTGTGCCTGGAGGTGCTGGGTCTGGGGGTGCTGGGTCGGGAGCTGCTGAGCCTGGGGGTGCTGAGCTGAGAGCTGCTGAGCCTGGGGGTGCTGCGTCTGGAGCTGCTGAGCCTGGGGTTTCTCCTGCTGCTGCGTCTCGCCGGGAGCCCCTCTCTCCACAGGAGCTGCGCGAGTGGTTCGCTCGCCGCTGGAGGCGTGCTGCTGAGTCTGGAGGTGCTGCTGGAGCTGGAGCTGGAGCTTCTTCGACCGTCGAGGGTGCGGGTGCTGCCGGTCCCGGAGCTGCTGGACCTACTGGTCCTCCTGGAGCTGGAGCTGCTGAGGGCGTTGGTGCTGAGCCTACTGCTGTTGGTCCTGCCGCTGGAGGTGTGGGTGGCGCTGGTGCTGTCGCTGAGGGTACTGGTGCTGTCCCTGCTGAGTCTGGAGCTGCCGCGCGGCCTCGGCCGTACTTCGTTCCGCTCCTGCAGCAGGTTCTTGGTCTTTCTCCTCCAGTAGAGGGTCCACCGCCTGTCCAGTCGCAGTCCCTACTGGAGCCTTCCTATCCACTGCCTGCTCCCTGTCCTTACACTGGTCCTACTGGAGGTCTTGCTGAGCGTCGTGAGCCTGCGTCTCGTCCCGCGTCGCCTGTTCGTGCTGCTCGCGCTAGTGGTCGCAGTTCGCGTCAGCGTCCTCCTCCTGTCCCTGGCACGCACCGGATGTCTTTGCGTCCGTCCACTGCTCCTCTGCGTGCCCCTTTTGCCTTCTCCTCCTGAGTCCTCTCTTCCTGCGCTTGCCGACCCTGAGTCGGACTCTCTTCGTGCTGCCAGTCCTACTGTCACGCGTCTGCTTGCTACTGTCGTCACTGACCCCTCTTTTGAGTCCACGGCTGCGTCTGCTCTAGTCGCTGAGCTCGTCGACTTTGCTGCTCGCTGTCGTCTCGACTACGCTGCTAGTCTTGTTGCTGAGTCTGCGTCTGTCTGTCCTCCGTCCGTCGGGGGTGAGTGTGCTCTTGGCACGGACGTCCTAGAGGACAGGCAGGAGGAGTTACAGTGTCTAGCGGCTGCTTCACCTCATCTCGCGTCTGTACTGCTTGCCCCTGAGGGAGACCCGGATGCACTAGACATCCCGACTCCGCGTTCTTACGCGGAGGCCGTAGAGGGTCCCTACTCCTCTCAGTGGCAGGCAGCTATGGATGCAGAGATGGCTTCCTGGAAGTCCACAGGCACCTACGTTGACGCGGTTCCCCCTCCTGGGGCAAACATCGTCAGTGGCATGTGGATCTTCAGGGTGAAGCGGCCGCCGGGCTCTCCACCTGTCTTCAAGGCACGGTACGTTGCTCGTGGCTTCAGTCAGCGGCAGGGAGTTGACTACTTTCAGACCTTCTCTCCCACCCCGAAGATGACTACTCTTCGGGTGCTGCTACACATAGCCGCTCAGCGCGACTACGAGCTTCACTCTCTCGACTTCAGCACTGCGTTCTTGCAGGGTAGCCTTCACGAGGAGATCTGGCTTCGCCGTCCACCTGGCTTCACTGGGACTTTCCCTCCTGGCACCCAGTGGAGCCTCTGACGGCCAGTCTACGGTCTCCGTCAGGCACCGCGTGAGTGGCACGACACACTGAGGACTACGCTTGCGGCTCTTGGGTTTGCTCCTTCTACTGCTGACCCGTCGCTGTTTCTTCGCACCGACACTTCCCTGCCGCCGTTCTACATCCTCGTGTACGTCGACGACTTGGTCTTTGCCACAGCGGACACTGCTGGACTCGCCTACGTGAAGTCCGAGCTGCTGAAGAGACACACGTGCACAGACCTGGGTGAACTGCGCAGCTACCTTGGCTTGCAGATCACTCGGGACAGAGCACGCCGCACCATTACCTTGACTCAGTCACACATGGTGCAGCAGGTCCTTCAGCGCTTCGGCTTCACGTACTCCTCGCCTCAGGCCACTCCTCTGCCTACTCGCCACTCACTCTCAGCTCTGCCTTCGGATGAGTCCGTAGAGTCGAGTGGCCCGTATGCAGAGCTTGTTGGCTGCCTCATGTACCTGATGACCTGCACACGACCTGACCTTGCATACCCTCTGAGCATTCTTGCTCGCTATGTTGCTCCTGGGAGACACAGACCAGAGCACATGGCTGCAGCGAAGAGGGTATTGCGCTACCTGTGCAGCACATCGGGCATGGGGCTAGTGCTTGGAGGGCGGAGTCCAGTGGTCCTTACCGGCCACGCGGACGCTTCTTGGGCTGACGACCAGGCTACGCAGCGCTCGTCACAGGGTTACACCTTCAGCCTTGGTTCCGGCTCTGTCTCGTGGCGGTCTACTCGCTCGTCTTCGGTTCTCGGCTCCAGTTGTGAGGCTGAGATCTACGCCGGGGCCATGGCTGCACAGGAGCTTCGCTGGCTCACCTACCTGCTGACTGACCTTGGAGAGCCGCCTCGTTCTCCTCCAGTGCTGTACGTAGACAACAAGGCCATGCTGGCCTTGTGTCGAGAGCAGCGCTTGGAGCACAGAACGAAGCACATTGCTCTCCGCTACTTCCTTGCTCGTGAGCTGCAGCAGCGTGGTCAGTTGCGACTTGCGTACGTGGCCTCTGAGGCCAACACTGCTGATGTGTTCACCAAGGCACTCACGCCTTGTGACCATCAGCGCTTTTGCACCCAGCTGGGTCTTGTGCCTGTCTTGCCTCACTTGCTCTCCTCTTGACTTCACTTGTACTATTACATATATTTATACCTGCTCTTGCTTGTCTAGTTCTATATATATATGTCTGTACTCCTGCATGTGAACTGGCCTCTGGCCCTGCTCTTGTGCTCGGACTGTGTGGTGACGTTGTGATCCACCCTGAGCTTGCTCTGCTTTGCTTTACCTGACTGGTCTTGTGACCCCTTGTTCTCCCCCACTTTGCCTATGGGGGTGTGTCAGATTTATATGACATAGTTTCTGTAGGCTATAGTGGGGTAGCACATATGGGGTACAGGGTCTCTAGGGTTGTATTTGTACCCAATCTTCCATAGTCATTTCATTCCTGTTTTCCTTGTTTCACACGCTAGGCCCTTGTTCTTGATTTTTTGCACATGCTAGGCCCTTGCTGTTGCTATTTTGCACTCGCTAGGCCCTTGTTCTTGCAATTTTGCACACGCTAGGCCTTTGTTCTTGCAAGTTTGCACACGCTAGGCTCTTGTTCTTTCTATTTTGCACACGCTAGGCCCTTGTTCTTTTTATTTTGCACACGCCATGCCCTTGTTCTTTTTATTTTGCACACGCTAGGCCCTTGTTCTTGCAATTTTGCACATGCTAGACCCTTGTTCTTTTTATTTTGCACACGCTAGGCCCTTGTTCTTGCTATTTCGCGAACGCTAGGCCCTTGCTCTTGCTATTTTGCACTCGTTAGGCCCTTGTTCTTGCAATTTTGCACACGCTAGGCCCTTGTTCTTGCAATTTTGCACACGCTAGGCCCTTGTTCTTGCTATTTTGCACACGCTAGGCCCTTGTTCTTCCTATTTCGCGAACACAAGGCCCTTGTTCTTGATTTTTTGCATACGCTAGGCCCTTGGTCTTGCTATTTTGCACTCGCTAGGCTCTTGTTCTTGCAATTTTGCACACGCTAGGCCCTTGTTCTTGCAATTTTGCACACGCTAGGTCCTTGTTCTTTTTATTTTGCACACGCTAGGCCCTTGTTCTTGTATTTTGCACATGCTAGGCCCTTGTTCTTGCTATTTTGCACACGCTATGCCCTTGTTCTTT